ATCTTGCCGCCTGTCTACACTGGCCGCGAGTATTCATGAAAGAACACTGATGTTCTACTGTATGAAATCAGTGCTTCTTGTGCAAATACTTTGACGCTCCTGCTCAGGGATAAGTCCTTTTGTGCAAGTGTTCTTGCGCAAGAGGCCAGTGTAGACAGGTAAAATCAATTTCTTGCGCAAGAAAGCCTGATGGCTAAAATGGCCATCGGAGCTTTCTTGCACAAGAGAGTGTCTACACTGGCATGGATACTTTTGCGCAAAAGCAAATCTTTTGCGCAAAGGCACATGCCAGTATAGACGCTCTCTTGCGCAAATACTTTAACGCAAAAACTCTTGCGTTAAAAGTATTTGTGCAAAATCATGCCAGTGTAGACACAGCCCCAGGGATTTTCTGCACAACAGTCAGGTGGTTGGACAGATGGGGCAGGGGAGGGGGAGAGGAGAGTGACTGGATCTCTGACAGATTCCATACTGTACGGGAAATCAAGGAAATATGAGAGTTGTTGCACCATCATCCAGCAATGGACTGCCCTCAAGAAAGTTTGTACACACCTCTTCACTTACAGGTATTTTTAAGTAACAATGACAGTATAGGTCTTGTGACTCCACTTTATAAAACCTTCCTCTGGTGGATAATTTTACAATGGCTGAATTTAATACAAACCTTAATTTAAACCTTAATTTAGTTATTTCTTAACTTTTGAGTACTAATCTTTGCGGTTCTAACATTCTCCTAACACATTTCAGAGGGGTAGCCATGTTAGTCTGTCATCTGATGAAGTGGATTGTGCTCATGAAAGCCCATGATTCAATATATTTTGGTTAGTCTCTAAGGCTACGTCTAGACTGTAGGCTTCTTTTGGAAGAAATTTTTTTCAGAAGAGAGCTCCCAAAAAAATCTCTTCCGAAAGAGCACACTGCAAAAGCGCATCGAAAAAGCGATGGTTGGATGCTCTCTCTCATGTAAGCAGTGATTGCTATGGATGGAATGGCCACCACGGCACCTGTGCTTTTTCCTTTTTTCTCTTCTTCTGAAAGAACTCCCTCTTCCCCGTCCACACACACCTTTTTGCAAAAGAGCTCTTTCTCAAAAAGGCTTCTTCCTCGTAGAATGATTTTCTTGAGGAAGAATGTAATTGTAGTGTGGACGTTTTCAAGTTTTGTCAGAAACAGCTGTTTTTCCGACAAAACTCTGCAGTTATGGACATACCCTAAGGTGTCACAGTAATACTTGTTTTTCTCCTAATAGTTATTTTTAATGTAACATATATAAAGGGTGACATTCAGGCTACCTTAATTTTTTCCTCGTGATCTATGAATAAGAGGGAATTATTATGCTCTCTTTTATGCCTTATAACTAGGAAAATACCCTGGTTCTACAAAAGTCCAAAAAACATATTTATTTATTCCCACATCACATAACCTTCCCTGAATTTCTTTATTATGTCTAATCCCAAAGGGAATACAATAGCAGAAATGTGAAGAGAAACAAAGGGGAGAAAATAACTTGTCGATAACACCGTCATTAACCAGGCCCCTCCTACACACATTGCACTGGACAAATCAGCTGTCTGCTGACTCTTCACAAAAAGACTCTTGCCTCTGCTATGTTAAATATTTTACCAGATCTCTGTTGACTCTTTCAAGCAGAGGTGGAGGATTGTCTTAGCAGGGGCTATGGAGACCTCGTGACTGGTCAATTATATCTCAGAACCCTGTAGGGGCTCATTTAGTGGTGGTGAGAAAGCAGGAGTACTTATTTACAGCTTTGGGGAGAAAGAATTGGAGGCACCTTGGTTGAAGCAGCAAAGTCCTTGTGGGGCTTTTGAATTGTGCTTCTCAAGCCCAGATTGCCAGCAGGGTTGAAAAGGCTTCAGTCTCTCCTTATATGAAATCATATTCTCACACCTATTATCTGGGGTGCCCTGGTGGCCACTCTGGGCACAACCAGGAAAACTCTCTGGGTGGTGTGGCACTGGGTGTAGGGGGTCAGAGGGGAGCTGGGGGGGTAGCATGGTGCATCATGGGCCCGCCCCCAAAGGGAAGAACCACGATGGCCACAGTGCAGGGCCGGGCAGGCCAGTGTGTCTCTGGCAGCTGTCAGTTTGTAAACAGTGCCCTTGTGCTGGGCTGGGTGGAGCAGGGCTGTCCCTGACGTGCCATGACTCATCTCCCATTGCCCCTGGCCAGCCCCTCGCTCTGAGGACTCTGCTCCATGTCCCCATTGCCCCATGGGGGCCCACAAATATGTTTAGCACCGGGTCCACAAAAGGTTAACCTGGCCCTGTTTGGGGCACAGGCTCTGGGATGGAGTTTGGGTGCAGGAGGGGTGCAGGCTACGGGGAGTTTGGGTGAGGGGTGCAGGCTCTGACCTAGGGCAAGGGATTGGGGTACAGGAGGGGGTGTGGACGTGTGGGCTCTGGGAGGGAGTTTAGCACCTCAGCACATGATATAAGAGAAAGGAACTGCAGTGACTTCATATTGACATAGAAACTGAGCAGAGTTTGAGGGAGCGACTGTCTGTACAGTATTTCACAGCATTCAGTCTCCTGGCTGTAGCAGGAAGGTAGCCCTGCAGCACTTGTATATGATAGAGAGCAGCTGCGGCGTCTAAGCATTGACAGTCTAGGAATTGGGATGCCTGTGCCTTTAAGAACACAACCCCAGGAACCCGCCCTCTGCTCCGGTGCTGACATGCAGCATCCTGTGAGGAGAACTAGTAAACCCATTGTATCCCTTGCACCCCGATATTTACAAGCACAGCAGGGTAACTGTTCCCCCCTCCCCCCTCCCTAAATGGGGGTTTTGTCCCTGCCCAGGGTTGGTGCTGACATGCAGCATCCTGTGAGGAGAACTAGTAAACACTTTGCATCCCTTGCACCCCGATATTTACAAGCACAGCAGGGTAACTGTTCCCCCTCCTCCCTCCCTAAACGAGGGTTTTGTCCCTGCCCAGGGTTTGGCAGAGTTCCCCCCACCCCCCCGGACTTAACCCCGGCTACTACCCCATATCCCCGATTCTTCCCTTCAGACCCTCTTCTGCCGCTACCTACAGTAGCTTGATTCCCTCCAGTCGGTAAATTTCTGCCCCCTGCTCAGACCATGACACCCCCCACACACTGCAATTTGCCCCCATTAATCCTTTTAAACCCCTCCAAAGAGGAGGCCGCAAATCATAAGCCGAGAGAGGGCAGTGGCAACAGCGTAGGTTTCCCCGATTCTTCCCTTCAGACCCTCTTCTGCCGCTACCTACAGTAGCTTGATTCCCTCCAGTCGGTAAATTTCTGCCCCCTGCTCAGACCATGACACCCCCCACACACTGCAATTTGCCCCCATTAATCCTTTTAAACCCCTCCAAAGAGGAGGCCGCAAATCATAAGCCGAGAGAGGGCAGTGGCAACAGCGTAGGTTACTCAGTATGCTCAGTTCAGGTGCACATGCTCAGTGCACCCAAAATTGGGAATTCTGAGAGGGAGGTTTTTCTGTCATTACACTGGCACTTCCAGGTTCAGGAGCACGGGGCCCCCTTAGGCGTGCTGGCTAAATCGGCCTAAGGCCGGCCCTGGTTGTGGTAAACCCGTGCGTCGTGTGCTTTACTGGACCAGCCCACGCTGATGTCCACGAACTGGCCCTGGTGGTCAGACACAGCCTGTAGGATGACTGAGAAGTATCCCTTCTGGTTGATGTAGGGGGAGGCCTGGGGCACAGATGGGGATGTGCGTCCTGTCACTTGTACCCCCCTCCCCCCGCAGTTGGGGAAGCCCAGGGCACCAAATCCCTCTATCGCTGCATCCACATCGGTGAGGTGGATGACTCTGCAGAGCAGCACGCTATTGATGGCCTTCACCACCTCCAGAGGGACATACAAAACCACCGAGAGTCACTGGGGTGCCAGGGTGGCTCAGAGTGCACCACCCTGCCTTGGCACCACCCTGCCACTGCCCCGCGCCCCCACTCACAGGCGCAATCTCCCCCCCTAAAATCCTGGCTACCGCGGGCAGCCCATAGTGCGGGTAGGACAGACCAAACCCTCCCGTGGAGGGGACTTGCACCACCTCCCCCCGCTTTTCCCTGGGGCAGCCCATCACCTCCTTGCCCCCTCCTCCCAGGCACACTGGCCAGAGATTGCCATACCTGCATGAGCACTGCTCCGACGGGGGATCTCCCCATGGCGAGCTATCCGGCGTGGAAAGCTTCCCTAGGGTGATGGCCACACGCTTGTGGAGGGGAATGGCGGGTCTCATGTGCATGTCCTGTCATTGCAGAGCAGGGGCAAGCCACTCACAGAGCTTGAGGAAGGTGTCCTTCTTCATCCTGAAGTTCTGGGTCCATTGTTGGTCTCTCCAGCACTCCAGGACAATGTGGTCCCACCAGTCGCTGCTGGTGTCCAGATGTCAGATGAAGCGGGGCACGCTGGTGTACGGAAGCTGCAGCTGCTCCTCCCTATCCCACAAGAGGGTCCGGAGGATGGCACAGGGGTCAGGCTGCAGCAGATGCTGCGAGCAGCCTGCAGAAAGTACAGGCAGGCTCGCAGCAACATGTCCAAATGAGTGCCAGAGTGCCCAGGGGCAGCTCTGGCTCCATGGTGCCAAGTGCTGTGATGTCCCGAGTCAGGGCAACCAAAGCAGGCAGAGACAAAAATGCTTTGCTGTCCCTCAGCAAGGTAGGCAAGCAGGGAAAGCTGAGAACCAGCTGTCCAGGGGGGGTCCCTTTAAGCACAAGCCTCAGATAGCCTCAGGCAGCAGCCACACAAAATAACTCCTGATCTGATCCTCTGCTGGAACCGGTTTCAGCTGCTCTTAAATGCTATTCAGCTTCCAATCAGTGTGGACATGCTATTTCAAAATGCATTTTGTATGTAGATGCGTTATTTTGAAATAACTTATTTTGAATTAACTATTCGAATTAAGATATTTTGAAATAATGCTATAGTGCAGACCTACCCAAACAGACTTTTCTGCTCACCTTTCTTCCTTCCTTCTCTTTGCTTGTTTTCCTACCTGAGATCTAGTGAGCTTCGTCCTTTCTGTCACACCTGCCTCCTTCAGACTCCTGAGCTGACTGTTCTGAGGCAGCATCTCTTGTCTGTGAAGAAGGATCAAAAGGTTCAGAAATTTCTGGAAGGTTGGATTTTCTCTCTTCCTTTTTCCTTCCCTCTCTTCCATCCACTCTTTCACTCCCCCTTGCCTGGGTGCTTTTCCTTTCATTTTCCTTCTTCTCTCCCTTGTCTGGGGCCTTCAACATATCCTCACACCTACCTGCCTCTCCCATTTCACTCATCAGTGCTGGGGGGCAGCTGCTCAGGAGACTCAGCGCAAAGCACTGAAAAGGAGTCCAGCTCTCTTCTTCCCATTGTTCCCCTCAGCACATATGAGCGCACTTTCCCCAACCCCTCCTCAGTCCCACAGACGTGTTCATTCCTACCTCACATAATACAACTCTGACAGGATGGCTTTCCTACGGGCTGGAGAGCCTGGAGCTAAACTAAGCCAGCCCTGATCACCAGATGAGACTCATCTGAGGAGGATCACATGATGCAGGATAAAAGAAAGCAGGAAGCTGCAGGAGCAGGTGTAAGGGAGAAAAGTGCAGTAAAGATGCAGACCGATGAGTCACCAGCTGTGGCTAAAGAATGAGCGCTAAGGATGAAATGCTGAATTATGATTTTGGACTATACTGAGGATTTTTTGGCTCATTTTGTGATTAAGGACTCTGGAGTCTGTATAAACCTTATTTGATTTTAAATCAAGCCCAGAAAGGGGCACTGGATACTACAACAGACTGATGGCAGCATTAAGGAGCCCATGAAAGAGGGCTAATAAGGTCAGGCTGCCTTGCCACCCCTTGGCCTGAAGGACAGCCGCAGCACTACAGTGACCTTCATATTTTAGGATGCCTTAGATTTTAACTCTGAACAGTGCCCCTTTCCAACAACTCAAAGGCTACATCTACACTGCAAGGTTTTTGTGCAAAACCCCATGGAGCATCCACACCTCAAATGCACTTTTGTGCAAGGAAATCAAGAGTAAAATGGGAGAACAGAGGGCTTTTTCTGCCATAGGTAAACCTCCTTTTACGAGGCATAGCTCCCTTTCATGAAAGAGTTCTTGAGCAAAAAGGCAAGTATGGATGCTCCAAAGGGGTTTCTTGTGCAAGAAACACCTATGAGAAAAAGCTTTTGTGATGTGCTTTGAGGTGTGGACGTGCTCTTGCGCAAAAGGCTTCTTGCGCAAGAAGCATGTAGTGTAGACGTAGCCAAACAGCACCAATTACATAGTACCTCTGTGGCAGCTGTCTTTCTCCAAACGCCATGTGTCAGAGTGAGACCATGGTGTAGCCTTAGTGATAGAACAGCATGAAGAGCACCCCATGACTAAAGGAAAACCCAAAGACTGGATTTTAGCTTCTGTACATGCTCTGCTACTAATTCCATGACTGCAGATTACTTCCCCCAGCAGGTTAATATTGCACTTTCTTCCCTTTCAGTGCTTGTCTCTAGCCAGTCCACTTTAAGTTGTTATTTATCTATCTGAGGCAATATACTGTGTACTTAACATGAACACCATATGGTTCCTTTTATCATATTGCCAGAAAGCTGTAAGAGGAGCCAGCAAAGCAAGAACCTATCCGAGCCAGGATCTTCTTGTTGCAGACTTAAAATTATTCAGTTATTTTCCTTTCCAACTGCAGGAATTGACTAATGAGAATTGCACAAACACAATGACAGGGGTGGGGGGGAAATACAAATACACAGGCACAGGTATTTTTGTAAAGGCAAGTTAACAAATACCATCATTATGTGAAGTCTGGCATTCCTCCTTTACAATGGGATACTTTTCCATATGTGCATCCACATCATGAACTTTCCCGCCCTTGCCAAGTGTTTTCACATCAGTGAAATCATGTTGAGGATGTATATTCTCAAATTTTTATTCTCAACTTCATACACTACATAGAGATGTTTTCAGATAAAGTAATAAATAATAGGTATCTAATTTAGATCATGTGTCTAAAAGGTTATCACAGCACTGAACACCTTTTCCAACTTTGAGGTTTATGATAGCATCAAAATTTCAGTTAGTAATGAAGAGGAAGAAGTATTTCTTTCTATATGGCACTTTTTATCCAAAAGGAACCAGAACACTTTCATATTTCATATCAAGAGAGGCATTTGCCCCCCTACCAAAAAGAAGCCTCTTCTAGGATAGCAGTCAGCAAATACTGAAAGAAAACCACAAAGAGTAGGTAGTCAGAGACTCTACTGGTAGGGACAGAAAAAACAGCCAAAGCTGTGACCTTTTTGACTTCAGACTTTGAGAGCAATCTACAGTTTGGACTAAATGTTTTCTGCCCTTTCCTGATTGGCTGTTAGCTGCAACCCTGTTTCTCTCCTCCCTCCTTCCCTTCCTTCAGGCTCTTCATGTCAAATTCACTCACTCCCTTTCCACTCATCCTGTCTTTTCCTTCACTTTTCTTTCCATTTTACTTATTCCCTCCTTATGAAACTCTCCACAAATACATACAAAAACATTGTTCATGTGGCTTGTGTGCTCACAGCAGGGGTCCACTCTCCTCCCCTCCCCCGCACACACTCTGTGGCAGTGGTGGGGCAAGCAGGACAAACAGAGCAAACATGGCCGTGTGCTCCTCTGGCCATGTCACTTGTGGGTGGGGTGGGACTATCCCACACTCACCTGAGGGAAGCAGAGCAGCACAACCGGGGGAGCAAAGCAATCTGGGGTGACGTTGCTCCACTTGTCCTATTGCTGCCAGTGAGTGCAGGAAGTATGGACCCCTGCTGCCAGTGCCAGCCCTGCTAGTCCTCCAGGCCATGTCGCTCGGGGAACAGGCAGAGGCGGAGTGGGGTGTAGCAGGGGAGGAGGTGGTGCAGAGCAAGGGTGGAGAGGGGCAGAGCAGGTGCAGAGCCTGGGCCCTCCCCAGCCTGGGGGCAGGGTCACGTTGCCAGTGACATCCCCCTTCCCTCAAATTCCTTCACCAGTTGACTCCGGGCCTAATTGTTTTCTTTGTTAACCAATGTGTTGAAGAAAATCACCTTGCCTTCTAAGGGAAAAGTATTAGTCCACACTTACTGAAAACAAATTCTTCCAACTGACATGCAGAAGAGTGCTCTAGCCTCATGAGCAGAGGGCAGAGAGGATACACTGCCACATTATAACCAGCAAAATAAAATAAAAATAATAAAAACTCAGAAGCAGAGTGTACCCGGGGTGTACCCCGGAGTCTGACCAGCACCTCCTGGTGTTCCGGTGCACCCCGCTCTCCTGCGGGGCCTTGGCTCACCGCTGCACATTCAGGCGGTTTGCCTTTGCTCGGGCGTCAATGCAATCTCCCCACTGCAGGGTGGGGGAAAGGGGGGCCCGGGCCCACCCTCACTCACGGGCCCCAGCCCAGGGCCCTAAGGACATGGAACTGTCTTGCTCTGGTCCAGCTGACGGGGCTCCTGCCATAACTCATCAGCCCGCCAGCCCGAATGGGCTCTGCCCTGGGCTGCTTCCTTTCCCCCCGCCCCCCTGGCGTTCCCCGCTCGGGGTGTTTACCTTTGGCTTGGATGACAGCCTGCCGGCCCTGTCGCGCCCCCCCCCCTTTGGTGCCAGAGGGCTGCGGTACCGTGATCCAGGTGTGGGCGGTGCGGTACCGTGATCCGGGGGTGTCGCCCGACTCTACCCCTTGCCCGGTTCTACTGCCTACTCCTAGTAGCCCCCCTCGCCTCCATGGCGGCGAGGCCTTGCCTTTTTAAACCTCCCGCCGGAGGCTTCCCTCTCCCCCGTCACCGGCCGGGGCAGGACTATAGCCACCTGTTCCGGCCCCCAGTTGGCCGCCGCCGGAGCTTGTCAGGGCGGGGGACCTCCTCCCGCCCTAGACCCTCCCCTCCTGCCGCGCCGCGGCCGCGAGCCGGAGGGGCTGCTGACGTTTCCAGCACTCTCGGGCCGGCCCCCCCCGGATGCCGAGCAGCGCCTGTTCAGCGTAGCTCAGGGGGCGGGGAGGGGTTGCCCCATCACACAGAGGTTCACAGATTTGCAAACTTAAAATCTTGTTTTATATTTCCACTCTACTCTGCACTGATTAGGCTTCAGTTGGAGTATTGTGTCCACTTCTGGGCACCACATTTCAAGAAAGATGTACAGAAATTGGAAAGGCTCCAGAGAAGAGCAACAAAAATGATTAAAGATCTAGAAAACATGAGCTATGCGGGAAGATTAAAAGAACGGGCTTGTTTAGGTTAGAAGAGAGGGGACCTGATAGCTTTTAAGTACTTAAAAGGGTATTACGAGGAGGAGTGAGAAAAATTGTTCTCCTTAGCCTCTGTTGATACGACAAGAAGCAATGGGCTTAAATTGCAGCAAGGTAGGTTTAGATTGAACATTAGGGGAAAACTTCCTATATGTCATGGTGGTTAAACACTGGAATAAATTGCCTAGGGGGATTGTGGAATCTCCATCATTGGAGATATTTAAGAGCAGGTTAGATCAACATCTATCAGGGATGATCTAGATGTGTGGTGTTCAGTACACTAACCACATGTGGCTATTTGGCTGGTTGAGTGTGGCTAGTTTGCTATAGCAGTTGCCACTATAGTGGCTACTGCTTCAGAACTGGTTGGACACCACGGATCTAGATGATGGTTGGTCCTGCCGTCTTGTAACATATCATTAGAAATGTTGTAATGTGCTGAATGTGTACATTCTATCTGTGTTCATGTATCATCCTGTATTTGACATGAGAAATATGAAGTATAAACCTGGTGAGGCATCCCAGAGGAGAGTTAGATGGGCTCAGTGGCGTTTCAGCACATCAAGGGACAGTCTCTGGAACTGAATCTGTCACGGTATATTCATCTTGGTATATGCAGTTATGACTGTTAGCTGTGTTTACTCTATGTTTGCTCCTGTGGTAAGGCTCACAAGGTATTTAGCCAGCACCATGAACTTGAATGGCTCATTAAGGAACACTTAGCTCACAGTGGACCCTGAAAAACACCTGTCTACCCTTAATGTACTTTTCCTGTGAGTGTTCTAAACAGAATATGGGCAGGGGTGATGCAGATGTAACTTGCCATGTGACCCCAAACACCATCTTTCACAGTGAGAACAGATTTCCTTTTATTTGGCACTTGACAGAAGATAAAAGGCTCAGGTCAGGAATCATCTCATTTTTGCCTCTTTCCTGGTCTCACCTCTTTCCTGCTTCAGCCTCTGGCTGATGAACATATAACAATGGGAGCATTTTAACCAAGGGTCCCAGGTAATCTAGGAACCTTCATATTTTTTGATCCTTTGCAGATGGACTTATGAGTTCTAGCCTCATTGAGTGCTGATGTCTCTCTTGCAATAAACAAAGATCAGATGTCTGTTGACTTTCTCCCATGAGCCAGCAGCCTGTGGTGTAAGCAACATAGCTCTGGCCTGAGTGGTTTTGTTCCTTCTGCTCCAAAGCTACGACTACACTGGCAGCTTGTTGCGCAATAACTCTTTTGTGGAAGAGTTCTGGTGCAAAAACTCTTCCACAAGAGAGCGTCTACACTGCCATGCGCTTTTGCACACAAGATGTGCTTTTGTGCAAGAGAATCCATGCCAGTGTAGCCTCTCTTTTCCGCAAGAAAGCTCTGATGGACATTTTAACCATAGGGGCTTCTTGTGCAAGAAATTCATGTTGCCTGTCTACACTAGCCTCTTCTGGAAGAGCTCTTGCACAAGAGGGCTTCTTCCTGAGAGGGAGCATCAGAGATCGCACACAAGAAGCCCTGATTTTCTACAGTACAACGTCAGTTTACTTGTGCAAGAACGCGCGGCTAGTGTAGACAGGTGACATGTTTTTGCACAAGAATGCGCCAGTGTAGACACAGCCCAAATGTCAAAGCCTGTTCCCATTGAACTGTATAGCAAAACTCCTTTTGATTTCAATGGGAACAGGATTTGGCCCCCAAGAGAGCAGAGAATGAGATTTTGAGCAGTTCCTTATCTGTCTAGAGACAGTTCTCATGCATGTTCTGCCAGGCTGATTTGGATTGCTCCTCCTATATGTCATGCTGAAGAAAATAAAATAATGTGGTGCTGTTGGAACACACAGTTCTATGCTTCTTTTCCATCCCGTCTTTGCTTTCCTAATGCCTGGTGGACAGCAAGACTGAGAGACAGGCAAGCTGGTTGGCAGGAGCTTTGTTTGGCTACAAGGGAGGCACTGACAGTGTGTCAAGGGAAAGTGGGGTGGTTGTCCTTCCTCTCCTTCTTTCATTTAGGAAGTTTTCAACATGCTGGATCCTCAATGCCATCTGGAAGTACAGGTGGCAGCAGGTGCCCAAAGCATCATTTTACAACTGCATCTGTTTAATAGATGCAGTTGTAAAATGTTATACTAGTGAGAGGGTCTGTGGGCTAGATGGGGAAGAGTCACAGAGGCCACATGCCCACTCTTGTGTCCCTCTTGTGAGTGCAGTACCAGCAAGGGATGATTTCCTACTTTTCAAGCCCCCAGAGCTCAGTATTGTATGTGTGACTAGCAAGGAGGGGGTTTAATACAAACTTTATACGCAGTGTTCTTGCCGTGTCCCATTTGCCAAGTTTTCACTCTGAAACTTGAGCTTGCTAGGTTAAATGCATAGGAGACAGCACAGCATTTCTGCCTTGGTTGCCATTGTGATTGGAGTCTGGTAGCAGCAAGAAATATTGAAATCCCTGATGTTTTTCTCTTCTTTCTTAAAGAGTCCATTCTTCCCAGTAATTTTCCAAAAAATAGTGCCCAGGGCTGAAACCTCACTCATCATATTTCCCAAATGTGACAGGCATGACAGCTTTATTCCAGTGTATTATTAAAGCTTAGTACTATAGTTACATAATTAAACATTGATCTGCTTTTTTTCTTCTGCATTTCTCCCTCTTTTTTCTGTGGAATACATGAATTCAATCACTTCTGCATAAGTGAAAGTTAGTAGATATCAGATGATGTCACTCAACTGTACAAAATTTTGTGCACCAGTGGACACGTACATGAAATGTTTTAATAATAAAGTCATTACATTGTTGAGATAAACATCAGAATTAACAGATGGACATTTCTGGGTAAATAGCTATGCTTTGGTGCATCAGTCTCAATATTCTTCGGTTATATGTATCCAGCATTTTGAACAAATCAGAGAATAGACAGTGGTATCAGTAGATCTATTGTAAAAAATACATAAAACCCATACATATAAGTAATTGTGACATTAATAAAATAGATTTTAAAGCAACCGCACAGAACAGTAGATATTTTTACTATATGCAATCAAAATAGCCTCTGGTTCCTGCTCCTTCCTTCAAATGCCCAGTCCAGCTATAAATACGAGCCTCAGCTTTCAAATCCCTGGGAAAAGAGATGGACTTTGTATGTAGCTGCCTTTGATATATATTACATAAAATTATCTGTAAAGCCTTTTCAGGTAAGAGGCACTGTGTAAAATTGTGATAAATTAGGCTAAAGGCCAAAGACTTGAGTCCATGTCCAATCTAGAGAAAATATTAAGCACAACACAATTTTCCTTTGAAGAAAAGAACACCATTATTAAAAGCTTTTGGCAATGGAATTTGTATTATTCACAGTCTGATCCAGAAACTGCAGCCCTAGAACAGGCAGATACTATAAATGACCTAGTTATTGATAGAAATGTAGCTGTGTTAGTCTGGTGTAGCTGAAACAAAATACATAGTCCTGTATTTTGTTCTAGTTATTGATAGACACTGAAGAATGTATATTTCAAATTCCATTGAACTTCACGGTCTTTCATTTATTCAGGGACAAAAATTTTCTTCAGTGTTAAGTTTTCTATCATATAAGGTTTCCTTTTACTTGTACATGGTGTCTGCAGAGGTTAACATCCTCACAAAATTCAAAACCACTGATGGAGTCAGAATTTGCCTTTCAGTGTCAGTTATTTGAGATTGTCCAATTAGTTCCCAGGAGGGTGATTTACCCTCATTTTAAGACTATCTTAGATGTTATCAAGTGGAAAGTTATATCCAGAACAGAGTAGCATTGAGAGGGGTGTTGTGTGTTTACCATTGTGTGTCAGGATGTCCAGGACTGGTTGCTGATCAACAGCAAACACAGTCTCCATCAGCCCCTGGTGCACTACTTGCCAGGTTGCCACAGGCCTCTTTCTGAACAGATTAATGATAGACACACACCAACTGCTTCATCCTGTACAGTGCTCTTTCACTGAACACTCACAGAATTCTCATGGCTTTTCTTCATGACTGCTCTAAATTGCAATCAGTGCACCAGCATCTATTTAGCAAGTCTGATGAAGACACAAAAAGCTGACAGGAGAGCATTCTGCCATCAATATCCTAGTTGAGCCTATGTCAACAGGAAAGCATCTCCCTCTGATATAGCATAGTGCAGAAATTATGTTAAGTTGATATAAGTTACATTGCTCAGTGGGGTGGGTTTTCTATACCCCGAGCGACATAATTTACCGAGACTTAAGCATGCTTAAATTATTTCCTGGGTCTGGGCCCTAGAGAAGATAAAACAGACCTAAAAGCATTAGAGCAAGCTTTAAGGTGGGCATAGCCCTAAAAGAGAAAGAAAGGCCCTAACATCTGAAGAAGAAAAACTGGAGGGAGGGGGAAAAGAAAGAGAATACCTTTTATTTCTTTTACGTGTCTCCCTCTGAGTGGCAAGCAATAAGCAGAGATTTGAGTTCATTTATTTACAAAAAATCATCTCTGTTTTCAAGAAGTGTTTCTGAAAATTCAGAAGATAAGCACAATTGACAGACAGCCATCTTTACAGGGTCTGTGATTGAGTCACTGTGTGGTCATCATGGAATTCCTGTAGTTATTTGTCCTTTTTGAGCTGAATGTCTATGGCATGGTAAGAAATCAATGAGTTAGCAGTTGTTTTGTTCCCTGAAAAACAAAAAAAGACAGTTGCCCAAGAAAGTAATGAGTGCTAGTGAGGAAGTTCTACTGGCCATAAACAACAAATAAAATTTGGGTATAAGCTCATCTGAGATCAACACTCAGCTAAATAGGTTACCATTTATTACTTATCTTAATTCATGAGAAATCAAAGTTAGTGTTTCCTTTTGAAGAATGGTGACCACAGTGAAATGAATGACTGAGATTCGGGCACTAACTGCAGAAAGGGTGAGACACACTCACTAACAGACTTATGAAATGTTTTAGCTAACAACTTTTGATATTTCAGTTTCATGGACCAAAAACAGCTTGTTTGAGGATGACTTTGTATGTGTCATTGAAGACCAATCAAATGGGAACATACAAACGCCGTACCAAAAAAACTCTTAAGTTTAGTCACCCAAATGCAAAAAAAAAAAAAATCTTCTACTTTCATATACATTGATGCTTAAGGGAGAAGGTACCAAGTGAGTCTCCTAATAACTCAATCAAATGATGAAAAAAAATGACACTGCTCATAGCAATGGCAACATCTGGCAACCTTCTGCTATTCATAAGAGAGTTCTCCTGAGGCCATATTCTCAGAAAATATTCAGCTCTCTTATTCTACAATAATGATGTGCCATTCTGTCAACACAATGACTGAGCCAGTCACTAGAAAAAAAAAGTTCCCCAAGTTGCCTTTAAATTCACCACAACATTATCTGATGCTTTTTTTAAAAAAAGTTTCATAACAGAGTCCTTTTTGTCTTTGTCAATTATTGCTTTGAAATATTTAGGTCATCTAATAAAAGGTTAGCTCAAGCCTGTCCCTGAAGTTAATTTTTTGTTGACAGAATGCAGATCAAGCTAGTTTGCAGGTAACTATGAGGCTCTGAAACTTTGAAGACTGATTTAGAATAATCACAGATCTGGGGGAATGTGTATTCTTACGTCAGCAGTAGTGAAGAAAGATCCCCAAACCGATCTGAACCAGAGAGATGCTGAGAAACTCAGCTGAGAGTCTGAGAGCAATGGGATTTATCCTAGGATTGCTGTTACCATATTTCCTGCTTCCAACTCAACCAGGACTTTTGTATCCCACTAGAATATCCATTTTTGATGAATTTTGGTGATTATATTTATGATCTTACACTGAAGCAGAAAGACCAGTGAAAGTGAGAATAAAAATATTCTGAATGTTCAGACATGAGATTTAAACGTGATTCAAATTGTATTTGCCAGCAGAATATTTTCCCCAGCCCTATTCTTGAGATCAGTGTATGGACAGTATGGTGGGGAATAGCTATGACTTTAGAGACCTGGAATTGTATGTGCTCATCTATCATTGCAGTGCAGTTTGTATGCTCATCCAAGTGCCTAGAGTAAGATGGATAGAATGTTTCATAGCTGGCTAAACATTCCCTTTCAAGTGGTCTTTGGAAGATCTACAAATGGAAGGCTCCAGTGACATACATAGTGTGTTCCAGTGTTTTTATGTGCTAATGTTTGCATTAGGTCTGTACATTAGCAGATCTAATCACACCATCACTCTTTTGGGATTCCTCAAGATCTTTTTTGCGTTCAACTTCCCTAGAACTCAGTTTGACTCCAGACTGTCACTGCGATTTTTATTTGGCAAATAGACTACACTGAATTGAATAGACTCATACAGAGGGTGGGTGGATGTAAGGAACATTACAGATCCAAAATTACCTTCTACCTTAATATTCATTACACGTTTTGTTGCAATTAATATACAATGCATTACACATTTGAATTGTCTTGGTTACTTGGCAAGAATCAATCCCTATGAAACTTTCACTGTCCACACAGTGTCCATGTTCAACCTATTCTTTACTTTATCTCTTTTCCTAGTTCTTCACAAATACAGGAAGCTGCTGTGGACAGTATTCTCTTGAGTGATGGCATATCTTTTCTACCTAAGTGACATCAACAATTACCAGAGCAAAGCCTTTTGAATTAATGTCCCTTATAGATGATGCCACACTACACCCCTCACATATATACATGTAATTTCTCTATGAAAACACACAAAAATCATACAGAACACATGAAAATGTCCAAATTAGCTATTTATTTGGATGAAATAAGAATTTGGATATTTTTTAAATTTTAGCTATTTGAATTCAAGGAAGTTTAGAAGCTGAAAACAGAAACTTGTATTTACTATTTTACTAGAAACTATCCCAGTTTAATGCACTAAATAATTTAAACTTACCTTAGTCAGTTTATCAGCTAGTACATTAAAATACTCTCTCTTCACAATTTTATATTCACAGCCTTATTCATTTTGTTGTTTTCTATAATTATAAATTGAAAAATAATTTTTGTCTGGATACAAAATAATGTCACCTAAGAGAGTTACATTTTCTAATATTTTATCTCTTTAATCCCTATCAGGATTTTTTGTAAATGCACAACCTGAAATCCTGACTTGCAAGCGAAAGATTTGTTATGCTTGACATTTTAGATACACGTTTTGCCTTTTGTTTTGTGGCCTGCTTTAAAGGGCAGTGAGCATCAAACTTAATCTGACTTCTAATGACTCTAGTAAACATGTCTGAATGAATAAATGCCAATACATTTAAAATACAGTGTTAAAAGTACTTGTTTCTGTATAGACAAGGAAAGCAAAACTATGGTAGCCAGACATTGCAATTTATAGACAAAGGTGACATTTTATATTTATTTAAATGGCCTTGTCTTGACAATCTGCTTGTTTTGTAAGGCCATTTTTCTCTCAAAATGTTATCTTTGTTCACTTCTGCATAGTATGTATTGCAGACATTTGGAACAAAATCAGTATCTTGCATGTTTAAGAAAATAAAGGTTAAAGAATGGTTCACATTTTAACTTACTTCACATATCTATTACAGGTGCAATGAAATTTAACAGGCATGTGCCAGACGAATATTAAACCTGATCACATTTTTTTTAATTGCTAAGGACAGTCACTGGGTTCACACTTTCAAATTATCTCTGAAGGGTAAAAGAGAAAGTGGAGGGGGCCAGACCATCTGGGTGGATCCTTTGATGTAAAAGCAGAGCCCCAGCTGTGGATTGAAGACTTGTTTAAGGACCTAGTCATCACTTACAGGAAGTGAACAGCAAGTCCAGATGAACATTTAGACAACTGATTCAGGTTGCCAAGGAGTAATTTCTCCAGTTTTTAAAGCAGTTAGAGAAAAATAAAATGTAATTATTTTTAATACGGAAAGGTTATTATAAGTGGTGCTGCTCTTTCTGACTCAGACAAAGAACAACTCCATTTGTTCAAGCAGCAGAGTGCTGTGTTGTGGATTTAAGTTTCCAGATTTGCTAATTAATCTTATGGGGGCCCAATATGATCTCTGTGACTCAAAGCACCCTAGACATGATTCTCATAATTTTAGTACAAAATATATCATGAGGTATCATTTGAAAAATAACTTGCTTGTCAATAATATGGTGAAATGTATGTAGCCCCATTATATGTGAAGCTATGAACTGCCCCATGTAGTATTACTTCAAAACCAAACAGCACCTCCTAGGCAAAAGTTGTTAAACAGGTCTGTCAAAAACAAAGAAGTGTGTTTCTCTCAGTTTACACAAACAGTAACTGAAACCATCAAGACAGCAGGAGGGGAAAATGTCAGGAAACTGAACAATCTGCACTTTAATATATACAGGTTTGGGGGGGGGAGCATGGGGCCTCCTTCACCATCAGACACTATGTTGCCTCTCTCACTGATTGAATAAACTTTACTTTGAGGAGTAAGCTTCAGAAGAATCAATTTCAAAGGTTCACTGGACTATGAAAGAAAGGGACAGAAAACTCCAAGTTCTTTCCTTCACCCAAGAAGAACCAAAACGACAGAGAGTTTGGAGATTGAAGGGGAAAGAGGTTAGCCACAGTCTTGCAGGAAAGCAGAAGGTCAAAAGTTATCTTGAACAAAGCCATGAACTGAAACTTGCTAGATTGTTTTAGGCTTTTAAATGTGTGTTTCGCCATATTTCTTTGTAACCATTTCCAACTTTCTTTTACTTAAGCTTTCTTAAAATCCTGTCTTTTGTTTTACTGTCAATCTAAACCAACAGTGCTGTTTATACTAAAGTAAATGTCAGCTTCAGTTAGTGTGGCAAGCTGCTAGGTTTTGTCTCCTTAAAAGGAGTAAATGGATCTTATTCCTCTCTATTGAAACAGGGCTGGGTATTAGAGCAGATGGTCTGGGGAAGTGCAGGACGGGCGATGTGTTGGAGTCATCTGGTTATTATTAATCAAGTCTAGTAAAGACATAAACATGTGTCCAGGATAACTGAAAGCTGGATTCAATCACCTTGAATCCACAGAATATGAGGAGCATACTGGCCCAAGCAGAGAGCAATAAGTAACAGGACCATTTGAGGAATGCAGGATCGCAATATAAGTGGTAACAATCTCTCATTGGTCCACATTTCACTCCAGAATGTGATAACTACATGATGACATTTATAGTTTCAATTTGCTTTTTAAAAACCTATGAAATGACACACAAATCCTGTGAAAACCATGTTAAAGGTTAGTAAAGTCAAACACTTAAAAGTTAGGAATGCCAGAGTTAAGGTTGCCTGGATAACCTTAATTCAGCCCTGCGTAGCATCATGCACACAGTCTTAACTTCTTTTCATCTTATTTCCCCATTTACACCATGGGTCCCTACCATAGGTCTATACTTCATGCATACTTGGGGGCACCTAGCCCCTCCCACAATTGAAGCCACCGTGGCTGCACTTCTATCTTTAGCAAGCTATCTCAATCACAGCTCCTTGAGCTAGAAACTATCACACCAGCTCAAGTATAAACATCTTTAATGTACAGCTTGGCCAACACCAATTAAATGAGCAGCTATTCACTATTTTGTTTTCTCCTTATTCATTGTATGGCCCCACTTAAATGATGTCCTCATGTGCTTTACTATGGTGCATCTCACTGTTTCATACCCTGTGAAGAGAGAGACAATTATCGTCATGTTACACAGAAGCTTAGAGTATCCATTCATTTTGGGTGCCTGAGATATCTAGGACCTGATTTTTGTGTGTACTTTATATGTACAATGTGCTGTATAATGCTAAGCACAGCTCACATGAAATTCAGCTACTGTGGTGAGAGATTATCACTTCTGCAAATCTGAACCCAGAATTTCAAGTTGGACATCTCAAAATTGCAGAACAAAACTTTGAACTAATTATAACTCCACCTCACAGGATGTCTGTGGCACAAGTAGAGATGAGTCAATTCTTTGGAAGTGTTTTAACTATAAGATCCTGATTTCTCTTCATGCAGTCCCCTGATTTATTCACTATTTATCTTCACTATGTTTGCTTCTGCAACAAATGAGGCAGGGGTCCTACAGACCATATGTTCCTTCACTACAGAGCACTGATTTATCACTAGAGCAGGTTCACACCATGCAGTGAATGAGGCAGAGATCCTGAGGGAAAAGTTGTATCATGTAATTATAAACTGTATCATAAACGTGTACTTGCAAGGGGACTGAGTTTAGCATGCACAGGCCAGAGGAAATGAAGCCATGTACCCTGTAATATCTTTGCCATATTATTTAAAGTGCTAGACAGCACAGCCCTGAAATCTTTATTCGGGCAAAAAAACCTCATGAAAGTCAAATCAGCATTTTGTGTAATTAAGAACTTCCACCCTTTGTGAAGGCAAGTGGGCATTAAGATCGAAAGTCCACTGCAGTCAGAGGGAGCCTTGACATTAATGGATTTTGAATCAAGCCCTATCTCTACAGAGCTGGAGTGTAACAATGGAGGTACATGAACGAGTTGTATTGTTGTTTTCTCAGAGGGCATAAATCTTGTCTGTTTCCTCAACTTCTTTAGGCCAACAGTCTCTGCTTCTCAGGGTGCATTTTATAGCCACCTGACAAGTAGCGCAAAGATCAACATCTTGTGAGCTATTCTTATGTGCTAAGCCAAGAACAGTTTGTCCTCAGTGTGCCATCTCTAATAGCCCACTGAGAGAGAACTAAGGGTATTATACAGGTTGTTACCATTTAAGACACCAGGCTGGCTACTGTAGCATTCATGAAACAATGGCACCAGTGAAGAGGAAATCATGAGTATTGAGTGACCCCACATAGCACAATTTCTTGGATAACTAGAACTTTTTAGTTCATTTTAAACAAAGCTTTGCTGCAAGGATGTCTCCAGCTGTTTCAGTCAGACACAGGAACAAAATATAGGGACAATGAAGAACATAGGTCAGGAGGGTAATTAAAGGCAAGACTGTGGCATACAACTATAGCTCTGAATAAGGGGCTCCAACAAATCATAACTCCTAGGAAGAGAAGTAATTTACTAGAGCTAACTAGAAATTTGATGAAGCATTTGATGATGCATCCAAAAATAGTTTTACTTACCTTGCAAGTGTGATTCACAGATCTTTTGTCTATATAGATTCCATTCTTTGCATCTCACTTTTGTGGTCCTCAACTGATTTTTCTGAGAGTCAGTGACCTCTGACTCAAAACAGGTTCCCCACCCTTCCCATAAATAAAGACAATTCTGAAACATTTTGTGTAGGACATATTTTACTTAAAAATGAAGCCTAGCCAACTAGCTCCCAATTGGGGCCAAGCCCCCATCTGGCCGCAGCCTCCTAACACTCCTGCACCCTCACAGACCCCAATTCTGAGCCCATCATACATCTGAGTCCCGTCCTGAGCCCCTCACATCCCCAAACTCCTGCACCCCCACATGCCCAGTTTTCTGCCACAACACTCCTACACCATCCACACACTGCAAATCTGTGTCCTGAGCTCATCATACTCCCAACCCCCCTGCCCTGAGCCCCTCATACATCCCATCCCAAACTCATGCTCCCCCACATCCACAAGCCTGCTGCTTGCTCAGCACCCCAACACTAGAATCATACGGTTGGAAGAGATCTCAGGAGGTCATCGTGTCCAGCCCCCAGCCCAAAGCAAGACCAATCCCAACTAAATCAACTCAGCCAGGGCTTTGTCAAGCTGAGACTTAAAAACTTCTAGGGTATGTCTACACTACAACGTTAATTCGAACTAACTTAGTTCGAATTAGTTAATTCGAACTAAGCTAATTCAAACTAACGCATCCAGACTAAAAAACTAGTTCAAATTAGCGTTTTGCTAATTCGAACTAGCATGTCCACATTAAGTGGACCCTGAAGCGGGGTTAAGGATGGCCGGAAGCGGTGCCGGCAGGGCATCAGAGAAGAACTTAGAGTGTGGAGCTCCTGTCTCAGGCTAGCCAAGGGCTGTGCTTAAAGGGACCCAACCCCCACCCT